GGTACAGGAGGCTTTCCCGCTCCTCATCTTCCGCACAGCGTTAAAAAGCAAGCACAAGAAGGCAGTTGCAACACAGCGGGCCATGGGAGGATGGCGCCCCCACCCGCCTCCTCAGCCTGACTCTTGGGGCTGGCTGGGCCGGGGAGGGCTCCCCAATGGGGGTGCCATGCGGTAACAAGCAAGGACCTAGAGTCAAGTCCGTGGGAAACTCAGTAAAGCAAAAAACAAATACGTATCTCTCTCTCTCTCTGTGTGTGTGTGTGTGTGTGTGTGTGTGTGTGTTTAACCATAAAACTAATCTTTTTTTAGGCACCCAGGCTCTGCACAAGGGTCTAGACAACTGTGTCCAAACTTCAGCATCCACGGGGAGCTGCTAAATAACATGCAGGGTGCACTCAGTTAATCCAACTTTCATAAACAAATAATTCTTAGAATCATTATGTTCCATGAAACACGACATTTGTGCTGAAAAATTACTCACTGCTCGTCTATAATTCTAACCGGACATCCTTTGATTTTGCTACATTTGGCACCTCGCCTGCCACACTGGTGCTTCCAGTTTCCAGAAACATGCTTGGCGGTCTCTAAGGACAGCCCACCCCACCCTGTAGCAGTGCACACGCACCACGGGCCACACCACCATCCAAAGCCACACACGCTCCAAGGGGAGCTGCCAAGGGTCTCAGATGAGGGACAGCCTCTCAGGGGGCAGCTGGGAGCAGAGGGTGGAGGGCCCGCCCTTGCAGGGCCACATCGGGGAAGAACCAGGCTCCCCATCAGCTCACAGCTCTGGCCATACCTACAGTTAGAGGGGGCCACCTGAGACTCTCTGGGCCCTAGGGTGTCAAGATGCCCTTCCCGCCTTTCAGTGCCATCTGACGTAAGGGGCCCCATCACCAGGATGGTGGTGGAAGACAGGTTGGGGGCTCTGTGTCCCATCTGCTACGGTGGACAAGCCCCCAGCTTCTTAGCTAGAGGTGGTGTTCTCTCATTTGGAGACCACGGTCGTCTGAACTGAGGGGTCGGGGCCACTGCCACCACCGCAGCCTCTGGCCGGGAGCGGCTCAAGCCCAGAAAGGCCCAGAAGCCAGTCTGCTCTTAAGGTGTACCTAGTGGTCTGAGCTCACACTCAGCTGGCTTCTAGAGGAACGGCTGTAAGCAGCACAGAGATCCCTTCCAGCCACAGATCCGACTCCAGGCCCTGCTCCCCCAAAGGAGAAGTGTCCGCCCCGACTGCCCAACACCCAGAAGCTAACTTGCCAGGGTGCCGAGCAGGGTCCCCTCAGGTCATCCCCACCTGCTTCTGTGGGGTCATGCAGTGTAGCCTATGCGAGGGCACCCACCGGCTGGGCCCTCATCCCCAGGAGACAAGGTCTCCACCGGGAGGACAGCAAACCCTCCCCACTACCTGTACAGGATCGCCGTCTCTTTCCTAACACCCCCAAACAAAACTGAAACCTGGTTCTCATTACCCAGTGGGACATGTCAGCTGTCCACCAGGATTTGGGAGAAGAGCCCCCGTGTACTGTGAAGGGACATGCCAGGGGCCTCTAATGGCGCAGGCCACAGGACAGAAGCCCCAGGCTTGGAGGGAGCCCCGGGCCACCCCCTTGTGCCCTCCCCCCCAGGCCGGCAGTGGTGCTTACCAAGGCCAGGCTGGAGGCAGAGGCAGTGGTGGGAGGTGGGGGCGTGTGCCCAGGAGGCAAGGCATTGTGACATCACCCACTGTCCCTGAGGGGACGGCAGGCCAATCAGGCAGGGCCTGTCTGCCCTTCAGTCTTTCTGGCACCCAGCCCCCGGTAGACCCTCACCAGAGCAGCCCAGAGTTGGGGTGGTTGGGCTCCTTCAGCTGTATCCACTAGGCTGACCCCCAGGGTTGAAGCCCTGCCAGACCCTATTGGCCTAAATGCTGTCCTTGACTCCTGACATCACACCAGGCTCTGCTCACAGCTCTGGGGCCGCTGCACCTCAGGGAGGGGAAGCTGCTTAAGACGTCTCAGGAGAATGAGGGATGTGGCCTGTACCAGGGGCCAGCTGGGGCCGCAGCTCCACGCTCAGCCCAGAGAAGCGGCAGGCCACTCCCGGCCTGCTCAGGGGCTGCCCCCTCCCTGAGGCAGAAACTGGCTCGGTCCAGGGAAGTACCGAGATGCCCACCCCTGCCCTACTCCACCGGGTCGAAGCCCAACTACAGCAAACCCAGCACCTCTGTGTTGCGGACAAGGGAACGGGGGCCCGGCAGCCGGGCCGCACGTGCTGGGGCAAGTGGACTGGGGGCTCCCTGGCTGGGGCGGAGGGAACACACTGCAGCAGGGACAGGCGGTACTTACTTTCACTTCGGTCTCCTAGGGTGGCATGGAGAGAAAGCAACAGGTTAGAGGCAGTCAGAAAGGGCAGCACAAGCGTGCTGGAAGGCCTTTGCAAAAGGTGCTTGGGAAGGTGGCGTGGAGGTGTGTGGTGGGGCGAACTGAAGATGAACACCCAGCAGACCCACCGCCAAAATCCCAGAAGGTGGAGTCCACCCCCCTGGGGCAGCGCCACTTGGCCGACACTTGAAACGAGCAGCTCCTAGGGTTGCTGTTATCTGTAGCCCAGGCAGGCCCTGGGGGACACCATCTGAGCACCCTCCCACCTGTTCCAACCTGGGCAGAGGTCAGCCAGCACCCCAGTGCTCCCAGTACAGGGGATCCCCACCCAGCCCTGCTGTGACGCTGCCACTAAATCCAGGCCACTGCACAAGGCACAAGACAACCACAACCGGTCCACGGGCCTCAGCAGCCACCGAGCCCCGGTGCCCGTGCTGGAACAGGACACCGCCATCACACCAGGCTTGAACAGAGACAGTCTTCCCACTGTGTACACAAGGACAGGGCTTTAGCCCGATCACACACGGGAAAACGGGCCGGAAACACCACGTGCCGCACCCCAAATCCAACAAAGGCGGCAGCCCAGGAGCTGAGGCAGCCAGGCATGGACCTGGTCGCCCTGCCCCGGGATCCGCCCAGCAGCCCAGTCACCAGACCCCTGGAGATCTGCCTCCTTTCTCCAGCAGGAACTCAGCCTCACATGCAGAAGCACGAGAGCACCAGCATCAGGTCACTGACAGGGGCACCCACGGGGCCCTCGGGGGGCGTGGCACACACAAGCACCAGCAGCTGCCCCACAGGAGCACGCAAAAGGCCCTGGGCCGGCCACCTGCACATGGCGGCAAGCCACCCCCACTGGCAACGTCACCCGGAAGCGGTGAAGCCAGTGTTGGGACCAACTACACCCACAGGGACACTGGAGGACCAGGCAGCAGGGGGCTCCTGGCTCCCCCTGCCCCCCATCTCAGATACAAGAGCCCACCTCTACTGCCTCCACCTCCCTCGTCTGAGAGCTCCCATGTTCCAAGAAGAACTGAACTGAAAACCCATCTGTCCTAGGAGAAAAGCAAGTTTGAGTTTGAATGATCCCCTTAGAGAACACAAAGGTGCAAGCCTCCAGCCATACAGCGGGGACCCCAGGCTGCCCGGGAAACAGGTGGACCCCCTCCCCTACCATCTCTCCAGACGGCACAGCAACGGAACAAACCTGAGGAACACCAGAGCAAAGACCCAGAAGGAAGGGGCCTCAGGTGTCCCCACCCTCTGCTCCTGAAAGCGGACTGAGTTGGGACTGGCTACAGACGGCCCCTCCTCTGCAACCGTCCCAGCCTGGTGCAGTCTGCGTTCTGACTGCAGGGAAGTTGAGTCCGTGACCCGAAGCGCAGACAGAGCTCTTCTCAGAGCTGGGACGGGAACCTGGCAGTAGCCCCCAAAAGGACACTCCTGGCTGGAGGGCCTGGAAGGGAAGGATGTGGCCCGCCACAGCTGTGCCCACCCAAGGGCCAGGCGCCTGTCAGTCCCCGTGAGCCTGGGTGAATGGGGAAGGTTTCTGGGAAGGGCTGGACCCTCCCCAGGCTCTGCCTTCCACACCACTTCCCCATCTTCTGGACACGACTCCACCAGTCACACACTCGGAGGAACTCTGCCCACCTTCCAGGAGAAGTGGGAACCCACACAAGTGTATGGGGAAGGGAGGGGTCCTGCAGGCCAGCTGCATCTCCTCTGGGTCCCCAGAGTCGGACCATGCTTCACAGCAATGCTTTCCGTGGTACCTTCTGTGTCGGAGGGACAGTGACAAGCACTTGGCATGTCTGAGTGAACAAGGACAGCCTCACAGAGGGGTGCCTGCCTCACAGAGGGGTAGCCCAGGACACCGTGGCTCCACACACAGGCTAGCTGTGCAAGGCAGGGATGCCACCTGCCTTTTGCAGGGCGATCTCCAAGCCCCACTTAGAAATATCAACCTGTCCCGCTGGCAGAAAGGGGACCCCTATGCCGTCAGATTCAGGGCTCCCACTGCAGCTGCCCACATCACCCCACACAGGCACAACAACGTCCGTACTTCAAATGCCGCAGCCGATCCATTCTACTCTGTCCTAGCCGCCAGAGCCTGGGCTTAGCTCACCAGCCTGGTCCCTGTGCCCCCTTCCCTCGGGGTGACCCCAGCACTGCACATGCTCCCCCAACCTTTCTGTGCACACTTGAGTCCTCGTGTGTGCATCCCCAGGCCTCACACGCCGTGGACAACTGCAGTGGGGAAAGGAAGCCCCTGAGTCAGTGAGGGGAAGACCCCATTGCATCAGATGCCAGAGATAATTTTTTGGTTAATCTTTAAAAAGGAAAAAAAATCACCTTCAAGAAAACTGCTTTCACGAAAACATCGGTCAAGCACCTTTGCCCACCCTGGTAGCCTCACCCTGCTCCCCAGGAGCAACGCTGGGGAGATGGCCCTGCACCAGATCCTCCAGAGGGCAGCTGTCTCGGCCCATCAAGGGCTCTCCTCAGGCCGTGAACCTCACTGCAAGCCCCACTCCAGAGAAGGAAAGGCCGGCCCGGAGGGCGCTGCCCAGGACTGGCAGGAGGCCCAGAACACTGACCCACAGAGATGACAGGTTTGTGTGCCAGTCACTCCGCAAGATGATGCTGTCCACGGGGCTAGGCACAGGAAGGTTCAGGAAGCACCAGATCCCATCCAAGACAGCCCACTTACAGGCTCAGGTACCCAGAAGGTCGGGGTGTCAGAGCCGCTCCAGCGGATGCCTCCTAAAACACGTCCTTCCCAACCTCAGGTCAAGCCCACTTCCTCAGAGAAGGGATGTGCCAGGGTCAATTAAAGAGATGCTCCCCCTCGGACAGGGACCCCCTCCCACCAAGTTTAGCCAAAAATTTCTCTTGCTCCGGGCTGACCCTTCCTTCTGGGAAGCCTGACGTTCAGCCTCCATCCCACACCACCCCCTTGGCTCCAGGAGGAGCCTTTCTCTCTCCCTTCCGCTCACAGTGCCCCTCTGTCTCCGGGAGGAATTACCCACACCGCTTCAGACACTGGCTTCTACGGCGCTTCCCGTCGGGGCAACCTTATCCGAATCGTGACTCCCGGGCACTCAGAGAACCCTGCGCACTTCTTTCGAGTCACTCAGAAGACACGTCCTTGCTCTTTCTCGCATCCAAGAACCGTCAGGGTTCCACAAGGGTTGGGCCGGAGCCTGGCCCCCAGGCCGAAGACCGGTGCGCAGCAGGTACCCAACAGGCGCGCGCGGGACAAAGGAAGAGCCCCCGGCCACCCCCAACCCCCGGCCGCCGCCCCCCACGCCGGGGCTGCAGCAGGGCCAGGGGCTGCGGCGGGGTCCGGCCGGCCACGTGGCCCGCGTGCCCCGCCCCTCTGCGCCCGCCGCACCCGGTCCCCCGCCCCTCCGCCCGCACGCCGGCAGCACCGACGCCCCGGGCCCTGACGCCGCAGAGCCGCGGGCGCAACGCCGGGCGCCCGCCGCCCCCCCCGCCCCGGCCCCTGGGGGCCTCCGCGGCGCGTGCGGCTCCTCTGGGCGCGGGCTGCGGTACTCACACCTGCCAAGGACGCGGCGACCAAGGAGGAGGGCTCGTGGCGCGGGACGGCTGGGGAAAGGAAGAGGTGGCCCGGCCGCGCACGGGAAATGAAGCAGCGGGATGTACCACGCGCCGCGGACAGCGCACGCAGGGGAGGCGGCTCCCGCGCACGCCCGCCTCGCCGCCAGAGCCCTCGGCGCGGCGCGACGCTCCCCGCGGCCGCAAAGACGGAAGGCAGTGGGAGACCACCACGGGGCTCGCTGCGTCCCCACGGGGCTGGAACGGGCGGCCGGGACCAGGACCGCAGCTCGCCTACCCTCCTCCGCTGCCGGCGCAGTGGACTCGTCGGGCCGGGGCGGGGCGGAAGAGCCCGCACGCGCCCGAGGACGCGCGGCGCGGGGCGGGGCCGGGTGGCGCGCGGGGCGGGGCCGGGTCGTGCGCGGGGCGGGGCCGAGTGGCGGGGCCTGCGCGCCTGCGCCCCCAAAGCTGGCGAGACAAAGGGGAGGGCCCGGCCGGCCCCGCACCCAGCGCCCCGCCCCGCGCGGCCGGCCGGGCCGGCGTGTGGCCCTCG